ACGTCTGAGTGAGAACAGGCTGGGAGCGGAAAAGAGATCCATACAGGATTGGGTCAGGCCGACAGGGAAAGGGGGGGAAGCTTGCGGTGAAAGAGTAAGGGCAGTTTCGAGACATCCCATCATCCCCGGTCAAAACGAGCGGAGAGATTGAGGCTTTCTTTGGTCCACTGCCTCCAGGGAAGGTTATGAAGTATGTCATTTCGCTGCTGAATCATGTCTGGAGACTGGACGTGTATTTTCATGTGGTCTTGGGCAAACGTTTTCACTGGCCCCGCATGAGCGGCTGGTCGCTTTCGTACATCCCGGCCGTAAATTCCACGCTGGAGCGGAATGACTGGTGTCACTGCACACCCAGGGCCCTGTGTAGGAAGAAAATGCCCCCCTTTTTCTCTCGGCAACCACATTTGCCCTTACTAGCACACGACTCATTAAAGCAGTTACTGCAACGGGGGTTTGGCAGGACGCTAACGCTCATGAAAGCATCAGCTAAAATAAGACAGGCTCAGCCGCTAAACAAGCACATTGAACAGACTGAGAAAACATTGTTTTGACACTCCTGAAATATCAATTCTGCAATGAAGATGGAGAGAAAAATTAAAATAGGGGAAGTCTTAAAAAAACGAATTCACCTACAAATGAAAAATGTGTCATCCCTTACTCGTGTTGTTCCAAATCTTCCAATTTCTTCTATGAAACACAACAAAAATTATTTGACTTGTTTGTCATTATTCATTCTTCAATGCTGCAGCTCACAAATCAAATATGCCACAAGTTTGTGGCATATTATATAACAAGACATGCGAGAACCCACACTGATTCATGTATATGACGTCAAACCTGGTGCAAGTGTGCCATTTTAGTGGTACGTAAGAGTTCAACGGAGGGGTTAACGACTTAACTAAGTCTGTTTGCCACACAAAGCTATCATAAGGCTTTAAAAGCCTTGGAGCATTGCATAGTTCTATGAACCATAACCATTGCAGCAACAATTTACAATAAGGTTTAATTCATTAACATTAAAGAATTAGATATCAATTAACAATGAACAACTATATTCTACAGCATTTATTAATCTAGTTTAACGTTAATAAATATACTATTATTCATTGTTGCATGACAGCACAAATAACTTGAAATATCAAAAACATACATGCAACTTTTATTAAATTTTTGGCATCATTTATTTAAATTGTCATTGCTTTCCTTTGTATTTATATGTATTCATTAATTTGATGCGTCACCTGTTGTATGCCTGTTGAGAGAAATTATAAATAAATAAATGTATTCATATATTTATGAATTAACATTAACAGATTAATAACTATTGTAAAAGAAAGACAAAAATTATTAATATATTTATAAATTATTATTAATTATATTAATATATTTATAATTATACATATTTATATTAATATATTTAGAACATATTTAATTAATTATTTACAATTAATTATTTATATTAATATATTTATAAATTAGCATTAACCAAAATTACTAAATGCTGTTAAACTGAAGAAATTTTATATTGTTCTTTCATGATACCTAATGCATTAATAATCTTGACAAATTTTACCTTATTGTTGAATGTTTATTGTAAAACCCAAAAATGCACATGGGTTTAGAATGACATAAAAGTGAGCAAATAATGACAGAATTCCATTTGCGGTGATCCATCCCTTTGGGAAAGATGGAATAATGGTAGCATTTTAGCAGACAACGTTAACACTGACCTGTGTAATTGTCTTAGACTTCATCTAGTACATATGAGAACCCATAGGAACACATGTTTGGATTCATATGTCCACATTTCATTACCTGCATGAATGGAGCAAACAACTTGTAGCTCTTCCATGCACTTTAATTAAACAAGTAAACAGACACACAC